CGGCTGTAAGCCTTCTACACCAAACCAAGCTTCTGCCGCCCTGGCACCCTCTTCCACAACATCTTCGTCCTGTCATGATGGATTTCAGAAAAGCCCAATATGCAGAACACCACGGAGACTGATGAAAAGTTTAACAATGTTTATTGATCACAAGCACATGGAATAAACACTGGAACTGGTTCAGGCCTGGGGGCAGGTTCACTGGAGTCTGTGAGGATGACAGTTCAGTTAGCTTGGGAGCAGAAGAGTTTGAGTTTGAGAGTTTCTGATGGATACCTTGAGGAGTCCGGGTTTGGCTTTGAGAGAGGAACTGTTGGGTCCATAGACTGTTTAGTTCAGCAGAGTCCAATAACCGCTTCAGCGTCTTACTTCTAGCTTGAAGGCAGACCTTGGTTTTGGGTTTCCAGCTCTTAGTCCAGAGCTGCATGGGAATCCAGAGAAGAGTCTTCAGGTTTGGCTCAGAGGGCAGGCTCGGCAGGTTAAGCTCATCCAGAGCTCACAGGGAAACAGGATTCCAAACTGGATCAACACTGCGGCGTTGAGGCAAGGTCTGAAGGCAGGTTATATACTGGAGGATCCTCTAATGACGAGATGCGCCTCAGGTGTGTTGAAGGCTCAGCTCAGGAGGATCCACGACGCACTCTGCTGGAGAAAGGTGGAACTTCTCCAGATCCCAACACGTCCCCACTTTGCTCCTCTAAATAAAACATGGATGGTGAAGGAGACTCATCCATGACCTCCAACACAAAACTCTGCTCCTCTTGCATGTTTCCGCTGTCCATAGCGTTCCTTGACAGTGTCGTTTCTAAGTCATCAATTTAGTGCTACTTGGTCCTAATGGAATTTCCCATTGGGAACCTACTAGCACTAAGTTGCTAACTGGTTAGCAAGATGCTTCGGAGAAATAAGTCACATTTAAACTTGGTTGCGCCACAATAACCCTGCCCCCTTGATAAACAACCAATCACATTCACTTTATTAACTCGTGTAAAGTCATGCACCACTCGGGAGAGCTTAGAAATGCAACTTGTGGAACAGCCGTTAAACTATAAGTGTATTTTATTTTAGGATCTTATACATCACAACAAAAATGGTACAAAATTCTACGCGGAGTGAAAATGTAAAGTCTTGCCATTTACCAAATGGATGTAAGGCTACAGTCACAATGGAGGCAAATCCCATCTGTTTACCCGAAGTCTGCACAGTCTGAAACGACCAATCCAAATGTTTTCACCCTCCAAATAAAGCATTTTCAGCCATTTAAATATACGGTACTAAATTGAATACATATATTTTTTTAAAGCATCTGCAGTCTGAAAAGTGATGCAACATTTTCTCAGATATGTACGTCATTGCCAGGCCTCCCACTACACATCTACAGAGACAGCAGAAGCATCAACGACTGCTTGGCAAATAGCTGTTGTTTATAGTTGTGTTCTTGTCTGACTTTCCTTTTTCTTAGTTGAAATTATCTTTATAAACAATTTAGTGTCCGATCCCACAGAAAATCATATCTTGTAATTACATCTTATTGAAATCTTATTGGGCTTGATAGACCGCATACTATCCTCTGCAACTTTGCTTGTGACCTCCTTATCTGTCTTGGTCAGAGCAATTTGGTGAACATGTCATGTATCAGACAGGAAAAGGGGCACACATCCACACTGGGGAAATACAAAGTAAAACCTTGAATCACAGCCAGGTTCGCCCCGTTTGGAAACACATGGAGTGTGCATAGCAAGTGGAGCAGAGTTGGACAGACACAATCAATAAACATTGTTAATAAGCAGTGCATTTTACCAATAGTAGGAGCTAAGTAGGACAAATCAGATGAAGTGAAATAGCGATCCTCTCTAAGCTTTAAAAATACTAATCTGAAACTAGAATGCTCATGAAGGACTTTGTGCACAATATCTGTTTTACTTTATTAATCTTCACAAAAAGCGCTCTTAAAATCACCTTTCATTGGCCTAACCCATTTTATTTGACTTTTACTAGTCTGTGCAAGAAAAAATTGGATATTTTCTGGTTATTTGGGACATCAGCAATTGAACAATACTGTACAGTCCTGCTCGAATCGGGACATCTGGTCACACTGTGTGTAGTGGGAGCCTCCAAGCGGCCAGTGTGAAAGAAAAACATTGCAGAGCTGGACACAAGTGGTGTGACCTGGCTTTAGATGTCTTAGGCATATCCTCCTCCCTCAATAGTGTTTTTCTGTTCCCATCCACATTTGTGTAATTTAGGAATAATAAGCCTTATTTCCAGTAGCTCTACCTAGACTGACTCCACTGCAAACAGCCCACTTTGGTTGCATTTCCATTTCCTTTTCTGTGTTGGACCTTCCTTTTTAGTACCGTAATGTAACACAAACAGACTGCTGTAAATTGACTGGTCATGACATAAGGAGAAATGAGAAGGTCCTTGCTGTGGGATTGAAGGAAAAAGTTCAAAATGACCACATTGAGACATTGGGTCAAACTAGGTTAGAATTTTTAAATTTGCTAACCATGAACCATGCAGGAAGGGAAAAAGAAAAACTAAAGAAAAAAGATTTTTTTGTCCCTTCTATTTCCATCTGACTGTATTTAATAAGCTAAGTTAGCTCCTCAGTAGACTGGCCAGCCGGATTGTCTCACGCTGTACGGTGTATCACTCTGGAAACTAACATGGATTACTACAAACTTATGCCTGTATTACGGTACATTTACACCAAATGTGCTTGTAGCATCAAAAAGGTATCCATTGGTAAAGCTCTGCATTGAGCTGCAACCATTCAGATTTCCAAACTCTGTCACTCTGGATGTTTAAAAACTCAAAAATCTGGAAATGTTTCAAGACATGCTGCTCTCAATGCTCAAATCTTGCTGCAAGACTTCTTAATGCCCCTTGATGGGGGCCCCCATACACTTTTCATGTAAACCAGAAGCCTTGGCGCTGAAAATGCAATGGATGCGAACAGACCATTAGGCTACGTTCACACTGCAGCCTGAAGTGATCCAAATCTGATTTTTTTTTTGCCCTGGATCGGACCTTTTATGGCAGTCTGAACAACACAGAGTTTTCCAATCCGACCCAGGCCACTTGGCTATGTGGTCCTGAATCCGATATGAATCAGATCTTTTCAAATACGACCTGTGTCTGAATGGCCAGGTCGCATTTGTCCGACCTGAATGTCATCAATACCCGACAAAGGTCACTATTGTGGGTCTTGCTATGAAGAAGCGGCAAGAAAAACAACAACCATGGCGGATGATGATGCGGAGAGCAGTATTTATGTTTAACCATATTGAAAAGATTGACTTTTTACGGTTGGAAAAGACCGCTAGATGCGCGCCGGTACTACCATCCATGTTTACTTCCGTAAACATAGAGCACGCTGGCCTGTGATGTCATTGTGTCCTCTACTGCACATGCATGACTGCAGTTCAAACTGGAGATCACATACAAGTCACATATATTTGAAAATATGAGCTGCAACGCAAAAAAAAGAAATCGGATCTCACAAAAAAATCGGAATTGAGCATCAAGGCCTGCAGAATGAACGTAGCATTAGTCAGTGGTGGCAATGCTAGTTCTGCTGATCAGCTGTCATTCTATGAGAAGCTGCTCTCTTTCTTCCCTTTTCTGCTGCACATGGTGGCCGTGACCCAAAGATCAGACAATAAGAAACATGTTTGATTTACATCATTTAATGTGTTCTGCATCACTGGGTCGCACCCCTGGAAAAGTGTTAATAATTGTTTCTTAAAAATGCCTGGTTTAAAAACATATATTTATGGCCTATTAACCACCATAGGAGGAGGAGGCGGCTGGCAGATAGCAGAAGCGACTTTGTGCACTTTAACGTCATTATCCTTGTTTAAACTGAGAATGGCAAAATATGTAAACTTCTTCAGGCAACCTTTTCAGCAGACAGCTGTTCTCCCCTCTGCTTCTTTCTCTATCCCTCATGTTAAAACCTTGTGTGGTACAGGGGTAATGTTTATTTCTTATATTTAGTTGTCTATGGTTTATATTTTAGTTATCTTTCTCAGTGGTACCATGCAGAGTAAAAAGAGACTGAGCTTTATTCTTCAATGTAATAGTTGCCGTCATTATGTCGATGTTGTTTCCTACCTGAGTAGCGGAACTTTGCAGCACCTCCAGAGTTATTTGGCTGATTGTCTGAATGGTGCTCTCCATGCTCTAATTCCTAATAGGTTTGCAGTGGTGTTGTTCTCTTTTTATTTCAGCTGAAGGGTTGAACATTGCTCTGTCAGATGTTTAGAAGCTTAGAAAATTTACAAAAAAATTCAATTAAACCTGAGGGGAGTTTTAAATAAAAACATTTATGAGACTGAAGTAATTTAAGTAATGAAGTCATTTAAAAACATTTAGAAAAAGTTTTTTTTTTCTTTGTTACTTTTCATGCATGCATGCATGTTCAACCATGTCATGAATGTTGACTCTCGGTTTATCTCTCTAAATATTCTGTTATATTTTCAAATTAAAAGCAGAGGAGGTATCAAAAGTCCCAGTTTCATTCAGTACGTCCCTGAAAACAGATGTATCCACACATGACCTGCTCAAATTGATGGAAAACATAACGTGATCAAAGGTTTTGTTCACACGTGTGTGTGTCTCTATGACAATCAGACTAAATATTATCCCAACTGTGGTTCCGACTTGGAATCTGCGGATCGTTCACTATCAAGCTGCACTGCCATTTTATTGGTTCCTCCATGAATACAGTACAAGCAGAGTCAGTACTGTATCAAGGAGGCATATAATCATAGAGGGCTGGTCAGCCCTTTCCTGCTGCCTCCGGTGAAGCGTTTCTGTTTGTGCCTCTCTCCCTTTGATTATTGGATGTCAGTGTGTAATATCAACATTAATGACATATTATTTTGGACCTCTGACAAGCTTCCATGAGTCAAACGGCAGCAGATGAGAAGTAGCTGAAGCAAAGGCTCCTTTGTGCTAGAAACAGTCCTAATGTAGGTTTGTCTTTTTGACAGCTCAGGTCGGGGAACGTGTCTGGACAATGAGCCTCCAAAACGAGATTTCCTGTATCCAACCATGGCCCCGGGGCAGGTGTACGATGCAGACGAGCAGTGCCGCTTCCAGTACGGAACATCCTCGCGTCAGTGCAAGTATGGGGTAAGAAACCAGCATCTCGCCCGTTTCACTAATGAACAAATCCCTTATCCTGTCCTATCAGACGGTCAGATCAATGATAAAACACTCGTTATACTTTTGTCAAACATCTTTGTAATGCCACAAACTGCACTCTGTACATTCTGTGTTGTATGCAGTCAAATCAGAGATTATCTGAGACTATTAGAGATGAACTAAGTTACTTCATTTTATCCAAGAAAAATATTTGACAGCACATTATGACAAGCTCCAAAATCACGTCCTGTTATTTTGGCCCCTAAGCTCATAATTGTGGTTTTAGAACAGGATGAAAGACGTAAGACTTTTACGGGAATGATTCAACTCAGCCAAACTGCAGTTTATTTTGAGACAGTAATCAGATCACACTGCCTGGCATGGAGGAGATGTACCCTGTGATCTGACCAGCATGACAACCCCAGAGGAGTGCTGGGGATATCCAGGTCTAATGGATAGTTCCCACATGACGTAACATCCAATTTGTTGAGAACAACAGCCCCGTTGTGATGGTATATAAAGCCTGAACAAATGCGCTTAACCGTTCCACGTAAGATATCCTCAGTGGTTGTGTATTGTCGGGTTAATTTTGTTTTATTTGTACAAGTTTGTTATCCAAACAACAGAAATTAGCTTTTTGTTTCGACTAAATTAGTCACAAGATCAAATCTTGTTTAGTTTTGTACAAAAATAAAACAGTAAAAATAAGTTTTTTTTCATTACATACCAAGTTTTAGTAGAAGTGAATCTGAATCTGAGAAAACGTAGCAACTAAGGATTGAGCATTATTATTAGCCAGCAACATAGATATTAGCTGTATAAACGAGATCGTAGCTGGTAAATATCCAGAGGAAAAATGCAGATTCACTCTGATCATTTTATCTTTTTTTTTTCAAATAAATTGGATCCAACCTTTTTTAAAATGATTTAACAGTTTGAGGTTTTCATAAACAAACAAAACAAAGAGTTTCACATGATGCCATTATCTCACATTGCATAAATGGAGATTTGAAGAACAAGCAAGAGGGGGCAACTGTGGCTTTCCTTTAATAAATAAAGGTCAAATTGTTTCTTCATCTGTCTTATGCCTTACATGCTATCAATCAACCAATTTCTTTATTGTCAACTACAATTTACATTGTAATCGAGATTTCAGTTTCAGTACACACCGTTCATCACATGTCATTCATTATTTATTAATTCACATTATATGTGGAAATAAATAAAAAAGAGGGTAAAAATTCACTTAAAATAATAAGAGTTGACTGCTTGTTTGGAACTGGCTTCTACAGAGTTTATGTTTTTTTTCTTTTTCCTTTATTTGGCACTAAATTACAGAGGTAATGAGTAATGAGTTGTTGGTGCATTGTCACACATTACTCAGACATGTAAAATTTAACAGCATAAAGACCCACATGGATAACATCTGTGTTTTGTTTTGGTTTCAAACCCACATGATCTCATAAAACTGCGTCATTAAAGAGAGCCGTCTGACCTCTACGGCGTATAATTTTAGCACATTTTAAACATATTACTGTTTCTTTCTATTTAGGTATAAGAATAAATGCTTTTATGACTTTACTTAGCATGTTAGACAGGTTTCTTGTTTTGCTGTTTTGTAAGTCTTATAAGCTGACTTAACCTTATAAGGTGAGTCAATACATAATGTCATGAAAGCCTATGCCATGATCAAAATGAAAGAAGTTAATTAAAACTGTATTCAAGCCTTGTCAATTTAAAGGACAATAAGATTCTATATTCTTTGGCTGCTAGTATTTAATAAAGGTGTTGGATACAGCTTATTTGATATCAATCTAATACCAAATAAATACAGGGCCAGTACTGTGGATACTGATACTGATACATTTTAAATTTAGATATTTTGTCTTAATCAATGTTAAGGAATAACTGAGATTTCGTAAATCTCAGTTAGCAATCTGATTGCAGCCATCCAACACTATTTCCTGCTAATATTAGCTGGTGGAAATAACTATAATTATATCAATATCACATAATATAAACAGTGTGAGGCTCTCGGTTGTGAAAAGTTATCCCCTGAGCTCTGATGTCAATAGTTTTTTGAGCTCTAAGGCTGATTTATACTCAGAAACCAGGGTGCCTGTGTGTGTGTCGCAGTTAACTCGGATATGCCCCCGCCCCTTCCCCAGACACTCTGGTGCATGTCTCCGAATGTGCAGGTGACCGCAGACAGTGCCACAGACAGGAGGCCTCTGATTGGTTAAATCTACATCTGCTCTAAACTATGCGTATTTCCTGTTTGGTACCTTACCGGCTTTTTTTTTTGTATGACCGCCATTGTGGAAAACAACTTGTGAAGATGCACCCGCTAGAGGGAGCGGTGCACAAAGGTTGGGACCCTTTTTCCACCTGGATCCCGCTCTTTTTAGCCCTTATGTCCTGTCGCACAAACTTGCTCCTTGCGTTTTTCCACTTCCTCACCGCCTCGGCCGTATCTAGACCCACAGCTAGTTCGTTATTGTCCCTCTTGCATTGTGGTGTGGAATAACATAGTGTAGACCACGCTTCAAAATTGGGCATAAATCAAAAATATCTGTGTCAAACCAACGACAAGCGGCAGACCAAACCAGACTAAAGTGCGCATTCAGCTCGGCAAAGAACTCATGCTCTTCCTCAACACTGAAGTCCTCAGACATTTTTCTTTCGTTGTTTCTTTCTTTGCACAGGTAAACAGCACATTTCTTCTTCTACGCTTGCATTATCGGCAGAGCAGACGCTGAATGCGCACTTTCATCTGGTTTGGTCTGCCGCGGTTTCCGTAGACTCGTGAATGCGCTTTTAGGAAATACTATACACTACTGTTTATGCTCTAAAAACATTCTAAATGACTTTGTTTCGAGTAAATTATGGACGCTACCCACTCAGGACACTTGGAATACATTGGACGAGCAGTATGGAGGAATATTGACACGTTTTTTGTGGACTTTTATGGACCTTTCTGCCTCGGGCACCATAGACCTCCATTATTTGAATGTCAGCAGACAGCAAGAAGCCTCCCAGATCTCCAGATGCATTTGAGATATCAAAAAAGTACTCCAGAGTGTTGTTCAGCATGGGGGTGAGTAGAAAATGAAGGCTAATCATGTTTTGGGTGTACCATTCCTTTAAGGGTTCCACCCTCAAAATGAAAAAAGTTTAAACGAGGGCTCAAAAATAGGTCCAAACACAAGTAGGAGAGAATCTACAGGCGCATAAATAGCAAGAGAGCGCAATGAAAGAGCATGCAGCTATGCTTGGGACCTATGCTTGCCACTGTGTGATGTTGTTTGGCCCTGACTGCAAATACATAAATGTTGGTATGCTGCCGGAGAATTAAATATCTATTTCTTTAAGGTATTAGGATTATGATGGGTGCTATGATGTAGCTAGAAACTTGCAGAAAAAAAGTTATGGTTTGTTGTTCTGTTTCTATTGTATTGATTGAGGCAAAAATTTACACCATTAGAAACATTTTTTGCCTTATTTCCAAAGGTTATGGTGATTTAATTGATTAGCATGAACTGTAAAGAAATGCTGAAAGGAAACCAGTTCAATCTAGACTTGTTAATATATTATAAAACATTAAAAAAAAGAAACAAAAGCAACAAAAAAAAATTTGAGTTGAAGCTTTTATAGGCAATATTTTTCAGTTGTGTTTTGATATGTTGGAATAACTGCAGAAACACCAATGCAGATCAACAGAGCAGTTATATTTCACTGACTATGGCCTTCAGAGAGTTTAAGTAACTTCAGCCTTGTTGATGACTGAGCCCTAGGGGGTCGCCATGGAATCTAACTCTCAGTATGAGACTTCGTCAGAGGTGGGAATAGACATCAGAGGATATTTGTGACTTTACAGCAGTAATTTAGTCACCCTCAAAGCTACCAACACAATCTAGCATGGGAGTGCTTCCTGAAGTAGGTCATCAGCGGAAGCTGTAACCTATGAAAATAAACAAACACCATTTGATGGATGTATTAGCAAAGTCCTTACTCAGTCCTCCAGCTCTTTTTATTATTAGCTTGTTCTCTGTTAACATAAATCCATCAGGCTCTCATCCCTGAACTCTGAGGTCTGCACCGCTGACCTACGAGCTTGGCAGATGATAGTGAATGGAGCAACATGGTGGCTTATTGAAAGCAGCTGGCAGTGGGTAATCCTTGCAACTGAAGAGCGGCAGTTTGCTGCTTTATTTAATCTGGACAGACTCAGAGAGCTGCAGGCCTGTGGCATATTTTCTGACCCTGGGGTTAAGGATCTACGTGTGGAATCGTAACTCTCTTTCATGAGTCTACTCTTCTGCAGCGCACAACTGTCCTGTTAAAAGCCTTTGAAGTTGAAAGATGGGGCAAGCCGGTTTGGTTTAATGGGAAATCTAATGCAAGGTTATACAGGAATGTCCTTGTAGTATGATAATCCATTTATGGCATTATTTATTTGGGGGCAACTCATTGCTGCCTCCTATTACTTCAGTAATCTAAATGGATTCCCCGTTCTAGACGGAGGAATTGTGCTTATTCAGACTACTCAATAAAACTGCAGATATTTGTCTTTATCTGAGACTTGGGAGGCATGTTGCTCACTCTTGGTTTCCCTTTAGACGCCAAAAAGGGATTTCTTGAACTGATGTCACGGTCCCGTGTGGTTCTGAGGTAAACGTGAAAAAAAGTTAGTCATGCTGTTGATCCAGCTGAGTCTTCATTTCTCATAAAAGCACATTAAGAGCACCAGATGACCCCTTGGCTTATTGCTTAAGATTCACTATGATCCAAAGCATATGGGCTCTTGATGTCAGAAGCCTTTCAGCAGTCAAGATGCTGTCTCATCAACCCCCCCTTTTCTGATTTCATCACAAATCATGTCGATTTAGAGATTAATTTCTTTCATTTGTCTTCTTTTTTTTTTGCTCATCTCACAACTGTCAGACAGCAGAGGGAAAACACCAAGAGGAAAACCACAAAAATCCAATGATAAATCTTACTCGCTGGTTTTCCAGCAGTCAACCCCCCAGTCTGCCGATTTGATTTATTCTGACCAACTTGCTTTTTGCCTTCTTTCCTAGGAAGTGTGTAGAGAGCTCTGGTGCCTTAGCAAAAGCAACCGCTGTGTAACTAACAGTATCCCAGCTGCAGAAGGGACCCTGTGCCAGACTGGCAGCATTGAGAAAGGGGTAAGTCAGCAAATGTTTCTTCTGCATTTGAATATGATTGCAAATAACCTAAAAGTCCCTAACCCCCCACACACTTATTGTTCCAAGTTTTTCCTTACAAAAAAAGCCACACAAAATTCATACAGGATTATGGTCAAAAGATCAAATCCTACTTTTTTGTAGAAACACTATAAAAAAAAGGGGTTATTGTTTTTACCCTTCTTAAGTTTCATGTCTGATATAGAACTATGCCTTTATAAAAAGTAAAGCCCACCAATCAAGAATCTGAGGAAATCTCAAAATCACATTAACCTGAAAATATATTTGGAAATTCTAAGTATAGGACAGTCATGTATTCTCCAGACTAAATACCTATCGTTATTGAAGGCAGCTACATTTTACACTGGTTAACTATATCAACTATATAGGAGTGAGAATTGGCAAGCATTCTGCGATATGTATCATCATATGATTTATCCCGATACGTTAACAAAGACGATATATTGCAGTTTGTATAATAATATAGCTATGGAAGACCTCACAAAATCTTGTAGTTGCTCTGCTGTTGCTGGTTCAGAGCAGCTAAATAATAGGCTATTGGGCACTGCACTGCCAACTAGTGGCTGGAGGTTTAGGAGTTTTATATAGAAGTAAGACAATGACATGGATGCTTGCCTTTTTTTACATTTAAGTTCCATTCATCCGTTTTTTGAATTAGGACTGGGCGATATGCCAAAAATATTATACCATAATTTTATCACAATATTACTCGTATTTATGAGAATAATTTATCTGGTCAGTGTAACCAAATCATTTCAGAAAGTAAAACAGTAAAAAAAAAAAACATAAAAAAACATTTAGGCCAAAGAAGCTCTGTGAAATACTTTTAATTTAAATAGAGGAGTTTTGCTAACAGGTGCAAAGACCACAAAAATGCACCTGCAGTATTGGAGAAGTAGTTTCACTAGGCAGCTTGTACAGCGGGTCACTTACTTTGAGCAGGTGTTTGTACCATTCGTTATTTAATCATCTTGAAAGGAACCATATCTTCAAAAAGTAAATGTTTCCTTTACCTTTTCCACCTCATGTTTGTCTTCTAATACGGAGTGCCTTTATCAAATGCTTGTGTTAACCAGTGGCTGCCTCTAGCTGCGATGCTCCAGCTGTTTTTCATGCTTCCATCCAGTGTGCGAAGCGTGATAGAGCCAACTTTGAAAATTACTTTTGTTTGCGCCTTGGGAAATTCGATAGAGGAAAAGCCAAACCAGTTCCATATAATGGAAGTATTGTCCCTACATGCAGCTAACACTATACACATAAACAAGGAGGCAGGTAAGAAAGTGCGCCACTTCCGGTTATTCACTGTGATTGGTTGGTCAGGTGAACTATAAAGTACGTCTAGTGCGTTAGTGGATTAGCATAGAACTGCAATTTTATCCAAATGTGACCTAAACGATTCTACGATCTCCTTACCTTTCAGATCATCTACTTGTTCTAAACCTTCACATTCTAATATCATCATATCACACACTCCTATTTTTAATCAATACCAATATCTATTGAAATCTTGTGATATTATATTGCTTATATATGTTAAATGTATTTTTATGGTGTGCTAGTATTAGACAGATATATAGCCTTCATTTCCATTTTTTAATAAATAAATTTCAAAGCATTGAGGTGCTCATGGAGTCCCCTAATATGCCCATTGGGATGATATACGACTTCGGCCTCACAAGAATCCAACTAAATTACAATAACAGTCACAACCTGTGTTGAAAAGAGCCAGTCATCAACAAAGGTAACAAATTAGTCTAGGTTTGACTGTTCCATGAAATGCAAATTTAATTTAGTTCTAATTCTGAGGTCGCACTGCTGCAAATGTTATGGATGCTTTAGTGAAGTCCGACCTTAATAAACAGCCTTTAGCAGTTCAGAGTTATAACTCTGGGAAGTTTACTTCTATCCCTCAAGCTGTTTTTGTCTGTGTGCACGTGGAACTTTGAAAATAAGCAGATGTCCCAGGCAACACTTAAAGCATTTTGTGATATATTGTTAGATGGTAATTATCAGACTATGCATTTATTTCTTTGTCTACATGTGTTTATTACTTCTCTGGATTAATTGGAACATCTTAGCCGGGAAGAATGGTTGAAGTCATCTCACCAATATCAAGTCTGTAAATAACCATGGGAGGTGGTCATGATGCTTGTAACAGAACATATCATTTCCCTACGTCGTACATCAATCAGAATAATAATTTTCCCCTCGTCCTGTGCAGATTCCCTTTAACAATGAACCAGAGACAGCTGCGTTTGATGTTGTTTTATAATCTACAGGCCGTGAACCATTACAAACCGTTGTATTATGTTCAGGAATTAATGTCAGTTTTATATTCCTAAAAGGTATGGTGGCATTAATCAATCATGGTAAAGTTCCTGAAAAGTTCCTGTTTCGGGAACAAGTTAAGTTTTCTGGAAGACATTTCGCCTGTCAACCAAGAGGCTTCTTCAATTCTATTGGATGAGAGACAAAACGCCTTCTAGAAAAACTCACTTGTTGCCTAAACTGAACTTTTCAAGCTTTACCATGACCTGGATGACCGAGAATCTTCACAGATACGGTAAAGGACCAAGATGGTACGACTTCAAGTCACTCCAAGTTGTGATTTGGTGTACCCTGACAGAGAAGAGTGATTCCCATGTCCTAATGTCCTTCCATAGGCAGTACCCTGGTTAAGGCTTTTCAGAAAGCAGCAAGCATTACGTTCAGTCTTCCCTAACATTCTTGAGAACAATGAAACAAAGATTTGCATTTAAAGAGGATTTTGGCTTTATTTAAAGTCATTTTTCTGGTGAGATGGTAACTTAATGTTTCATGTCAATATGAAACACAGTTCCGTAAATGTTTTTTTTTTTTTTTTTTTTTCCCATTTTCCATTACGCTATATCCCAGGTGGGGTCACAAGACCTGCTGGTACCTATCTCCAGCTGTCTCCTGGCAAGAGGCAGGGTACAACCTGGACAGGTTACCAATCTATCAGGCAACACAGAGACAAACAGCCATTCACAGACACACCTAAGGAGAGTTTAGAGAAGCTAATTAACCTAACAGTCATGTTTTTGGACTGTGGGATGAAGCTAGAGTACCCAGACAAAACCCATGCATGCACAGGGAGAACAAGTAAACTCCATGCAGAAAGACCCCAGGCTGGGAATTGAACCAGCAATACGCCTACTTATTGTATGTAATAAAATCCCTTTATTGCATTCTTCAAGGATCTTTTTAGATATTTTTGACATACACCCTTGTTTTATACCATTTGGAACTTCCTTTTCTGTCCATTGTTACTTCCCTTCTTCCATTGGGCGAACACAGTATGGATGGTCCATTGATTTGGCCATTTCAACTAAAAAAGCCAAAGAAAATGATCCCGGTCATCCAGCACGTCTTCACATAGATGTGAAACGTGTTGGCTGATACGTTTGTCCCACTTTGGAAACTTCAATCAAATAGAGACGACCAAATATGGCGCTTTACGGTGTGTTCACCTGGACATCTCTTTTAATGAACTCCTAAATCAAAGCTACAAAGAAAGCTTTCATTTAAAATGGGATGCTTTTAGTCTTTTGAAGACCATGTATTTATACAAGTAATACTTGATTTTTGCTTATTAAAAGCCAAATGATTTCTTTATTGTCCCTTTAATTTGCTAATTAGGTAAAATTAAATGTGTGTCACTCTGCACGTTTTTGCCTATGGGCTCATTTTAAAAACCCTACATTTTCCAAAAGTTCATTATCATACAGATGTTTTTGTTTATTTTATTGCATAAAATGTATTGTTTTTGTAAAGATGTGACTTTAATGTAGAAAAAAAAAAGAAAAATAGGAACCATAGCGATACGTTTCTTATGAACTTTCCTCAGTTTTACCGCTTTGGTTCTAATTCTATAAAGTGCTGAGAAAGCACTTGGGTGATAATTACTTCTACTGCCTTCAGACTTCCTATCCATAAGTGTTCTTTCCGTCCAGTATGAACTCCTCCAGTTGCTGCTACCATTCACACACCAGAACCCACACCCTTACACAGGCCTGATGAGCTTTAGGTCATCAGGCCTCTGATTATGCCAACCAGGTTAGGGGGAGACAGTTTTAACACGGATTATTGCAGCCATTGTTGATGGTCCTAGTTCTAAAAGGGAAGAATAGGAGATTGTCACGAGCTGTCGTCCATGATTACCATTAGCTCATTGGAGCCTTTGAGGACCGGAGCCCACGTACAGGGTCCTGGACAACACAGGGGGCCCCAGGTTAAACCACGGGGGCTTTAGAAGAGCTTTCGGAGCAGCTTTAGGAAAGCCCACGGCTCACTCTGTCTGCCTTTGCCGAAGGAATGATTGTCAGCCATTTCTTATCTGGCGTATGACGAAAAGAGGCCCTCCCAACAAAAGTAGAAGGATGGAGGAACAGGTCAGATAAAAGTCAAGCAGAAGCTTTCAGGTTTTCACGGAGTTCAAATGGACCCGCAGATATACATTACACTCTAAAGTTTTCAGTACTGATCCCTCTGTCTTTTTTCCCAACTCTCTTCCCTCTCTCCTCTGACTCTAGCTCTGCTAATCTTGTTTAGACACGGCCTCAGCACATGAATAGTCCGTCAAATAGGGCAGTAGCCTAGCCAAGCCCTCACCTTGACTGTTTCAGTGTCAGTTTCAGTGGAACAATAACCCACTGACACAGTTGGAGAGACAAAAGGTTAGTTTCTGATCCCCTCCTCCATCGCTGACGCTGACCAGCTTAGCTGGAGGTTGCAACTGCTTCTGAAGCATTACTCAGCAATCTTTTTGTTTCTTTCCTGCTTTGGAGACGATCGCACATTAAATTGTGAAAGCAGTTCTAAAACCACAGGCGATGTGGTTAGTACTTTTTGTTCGTTTTCTTTACTGCATAGCCTGGTGAAAATAAACCAGGCTCTTTCTTGCACCATACAGTTACCTAAAAAGGGAAATTACTATAAAATTTCTTCATTTTTTCCCACAAATATTACCAACCCTTCGTACACTGTTTAAGACATCCATGTCCGCTGCATGATGCTGCCAACAGCCTGTTTCACTGTTAGGACATTGACTCAGATTTATGCAAAGTCTTAGATTTCTGAAACAGAGCATTTTGAATGCAGAGCCGACAGTTCTATCTATTCTGCATTAGGATGAAGGAAATTCTAACCCATCTGGTTACTGACATCTTGGACATATTGACTTAGTAACCGTAAGTGAACATTGTTGATATAGTAAGTTGTGTGTCATCAGCATAAAGGTTTTGGTATTAATCATAATAAGGCCTTGAAGAGGTTGAATAACTATCAATCCACCAGTTTGTTCACTTGGTTTAACAAATATCAAGAAGTCACAAAGACAAGCTCTCACGTTACACCTTGTGCACAAGTGAAAATGGAAGCATGACAAGGAAAGAAATCGTGCAAACGTTTGCCCGTTTATCCCTGATTATAAAGTTGAAGTATGCGTTGCACACAAAAATCAGTCTAATCATTAAACCCAGAGGTATACAAAATTCAATTTTCTTCATAACGTGTTAAAAAGATTATTCATAGTTGGCATTTTTTCAACTTAAAATCCGAGTTATTCCACAGCTTTACTGCATGTAGTACACTTATAAAATTAGGGATGCACGATATTGGGATTTTGGCCGATATCCGATATTTTAAAACTCATGTAGCCGATAACCGATATCGATACCGATGTTAAAGCTGGACAAAAATAAGTAGTCATTGAAAATAGCAGTTTTGTTTTCCATTTCTGAAACTTTGAAAAATAATATACTCAAATATATTTTCATATGCTGATATCAAATTGATTTTTAAAAACGCGGTATCAATCTATTTTACTTTCAAAATCTCGTGAAATTTTATCGTTCTGTTACAAACTCTCGTGATATTTTGCAAATTCTTGTGAGATTTTGTTAGTAAAATAGATCGATGCCGCGTCAATATATCAACATATAAAAAAATGGCAAAATTTCGTGAATTTTGGGGGGATTTCGTAGCATAATGATGACATATAGCAATATTTCATTAGTAAAAGAGATTGATATGGTGTTTTTAAATGGCAATATATCAGCAAATGAAGATATTGGGATATTTTAATGTATCAATATTTTTCCCTCGTCTTTAGAAGTTTTTAAGTCTGTAAAAAGAAGTTTTTGAGGAAGAAGAAGAAGTAGTATTTTTTTTTTTTTTTTGACTTTAGAAACTCAGAAGCTAATCAAATATCGGGTTAAATATCGGTGGGGTGGCCGATGTCCGATATTTAGTTTTAAGGCCGATACAGGCCGATACCGATAGGGGGCCGATTATATCGTGCATCCCTATATAAAATCCTACTTAATTTGGCTGTTATATCACTTGATCTTCAGTGGGCTGACTACAGAGTCTTTAGAAACCCCACTAACCATTTTTTCCATCAAGTGTTTGTCAGATTTATCAATATGTAATAACTACTTTTAAAAGCCTGGAAAGAATAATTGATTTAATGTCATAACAATCAAAGCTTCATTTTTTTCTGTTTTGCCCCTCCATGACCAGTGGTGCTACCAAGGAGAATGTGTTGCGTTTGGCAGTTGGCCTCAGAGTGCAGACGGAGACTGGGGGCCGTGGTCTTTATGGGGAGAGTGCAGCAGGACCTGTGGAGGAGGTGTTTCGTCCTCCATGAGGCACTGTGACAGCCCAGCGTAAGTAGGCAAAAGTAAGCCACAACAAGCCGAACACACGCATCCAGGTCCTGCCTTCAAGTGTGTGTTTGTGTGTAATCTGTATGTGCATGTGTGTTATATCCATGTGGCTACAGAGGGACAGAAATTAATCTGTTTCTGAAGTACATCAGAAAGTAATTATATATTTTGGGCCTGTCAAAATGGATAAAACAATTATTTCTATTATACTAATCAGAAATAATAAGATTTATTTGAAATAATAACACTAAAATAATGATACTTTTATTCTGCACAATCTAGACATCGGTGAAACAGCAAAAGCTTTCCAAACACCAAAACAGCTCCATTGTAATAAATGAAATGGAGCAATGTAACGTACTGTATGCTATATAACATGTATGGTTTAAAAGTAAGATGCATTAACACAATTTACTGTTTCAATGCAGATAGATGGTAAAACAGAACTATAGTAAAGAGACTATAGTAATAATCCCACTGCTTTTCTCAGTAGTTCTGCAGTTTTAAAATATTGTGATAATACCTCAATTAGTTGCTCATTAGCTGCTAATGCCGAGATTTCCATCTGTCTTAAAGCTTTCTATTGGTGCTCTGTTGCATTTGATCATCTTGAGTTAAACATTTAAAATGTTTAGACTGGTCAAACCTGAAGAGGATCATTCCTGGAGCTTATGAGGTGGTAAAATGTTTTTGTTTTAAAGCCACTAACCAGAGCATCCCTGGCCTGCAGGCAGACATCTGGAATCTTTATCCTTCTTCCACTGTCGTATTCCTTCGTTTTGGAAGCTAGGTATTTCGTCAGACACGCTATTAGAAGACAAAAGAAAGCAAAGGTGAATAAGACAGGAGAGGGGAGAAAAAAGAAAGGATGGAAAAGTGAAGGCACCAGGGTAATGTGGACCACCTGTGTAAGGTAATCAGCTCTGCTCAGGCATCGGTGCAAAGTGGAGTGCAGCCAGAGGAGCCTCTTAACACATTCATTACAGGAGCCTCTTTGCAATGAAGTGGAAATAATCATGGGGAAAACGAGAGGCTAATGAAGGTGAAAGGAAGAATAAAAGAAAGAAAATAAATCCCTCAAAAGATGGAGTGGATGTAGTCTCGACGAGGGGGGGGGACCTGTAAAGAGAATTGTTCTGAAGTTACAGACTGCATCTCCCGTCCAAATCTAAATGTCGTGTCACACTTAAGAGGTCTTACAGCAGCTTGGGTTTCATGAATGAACCGCTGGCACACAGACTCAGCAAAGCAGCAAAAATCACACACAAACATACTTCTGTGTTCTGGCAGAGACTCTGTCACCAAACTTGTGCTTTTGTGGCGTCAAACCTCCGTCTTAGCTTACAGCCGTAAAAATAAATTCTCATTGTAATTCATTGTAAGCGCCTGAAATTCGAGATGTTAAATTAACTTTTTTTTTTTTTTCCCTCTTGAACTCCCCATTCATTAAAATCTCTTCTTTCTTGCAGCCCATCTGGAGGCGGAAAGTACTGTCTTGGAGAGAGAAAACGATACAGATCCTGTAACATTGATGTGAGTCCATCTTCATTACGTTACCTCCTTGTCTTACTTAGATTTAGATCAACTACATGGTAATTTTCTCGGTGTATTTATGACATTAAACTATTAAAAAAAGAAAAGGACAAGAATTCACTGTTTTTATCTAAGTAAACTGTCAGTTTGTACTTCTTCAGTGGAATTTCTGAAACATCTATCTGCATAAGGTGCAAGAAGGGATGTGTAATATCACAAAACTATGAGCTTGTGACATTTAAAAACAGCTCTGGCCTTAGAAAGACAAGGAAACCTCATAACACTTAATTAGAAGAAAAATGTTAAAAACCAACAAGCGTATTATATCTAGCCTCTAAACTAAGGCGGTGGAGACAAAGGGCGTTGCTTTGACGGGTAGCCATCCGGATGATGATCACAGTGAAAGGGATCCAGAATTCCTTTGAGGTAATGGGAAAACCTTGCAACCAAATAACCATGAAAGAAGCACTTTACCAATTATGGTTTGTTTTATGCATCAACACCCTTTCCTCATTAAAAGATATACCTCCAGCTGTTGGGAGTTTGCCAAAAGATTCTCAGACTATGAGACACTCAAAGTCTTTATTCCCGACCTGTCAATATTCAGGCTTGCTAACCACATTTCATCTGCAATAAATTAGCATAGGAAGTTTCTTATCTATGTTACTGAAGGCCCACCAGTAGGTCACAAAGAACAAAAAAGATTAACTGGTAAAGAAGTTTTGTAATTGTGCTCAAAATTTCATCCATCTTGACAAACATCCTGATTCCAGAGCATGATGCTACCACCACTGTGTTTAGGGTTTCATTCACAGATCAGTCTGGAGACTCTCCGTTAAAGAAAATTTGGA